CCGCACGCCACCCCCATCGCTCCTGCCCGCCAGACGACGACCCCGCGAGCCCTGATAAGCCCCCCGGCCAATGCTCACGCGGCTGCTCCAGCACTCCAGCCTGCAGATCGCTCGCACCACCCCCACCCGCCTGTTCTCCCTCTCCGCCTCCCTCTCCCACTCGGATACGACGATGGCCAGCATTCGCTCCTGCGCGGCCACCCTGCCGGACCATGAGGTCCGCATCACACCGCCCTTCCCCAGCCCCCTGAGCGATGGCGAGCTGGATCTTTTCCCGGAAACCGGCACCCCGCTGCATGAGAAGCCGCATGGCTTCCGTTTCTACGAGGATGTCTGCAAGAAGGCCAAGTTTGTCCTCGGCCCGATGGTCGATGCATCGGAGCTCCCCTGGCGGATGATCTCCCGAGCGTGCGTCGCCGGCCGGACGCCCGCACTCCGCCTGCCCTCTTTCCTTGTGCTGACCCGATGTCCCGCTCCTGCTGGGCCCTCTCCCCGCTGCCTGTGGCCAGCCACGGCGCGCAGCTTGCCTACTCCCCGATGTATAGCTCCGGCTGTCTGGCTCGGTCGGACAAGTACCGCGACGCCATCATCACGGCCCCGGAAGATCGCCCGCTTTTCTACCAGGTACGCCCCCCTGGCGCCGGGGTGTTCTTTGGCCTCTCCCCCCCCCCCCCCCCCCCGACTGACGCCCATGTGGGGCCCGTCTCTCCCCCTCTTCTCCACGTAGCTTGCCGGTGACTGCCCGGAGACCGTCCTGCGCGCGGCGCAGTACCTCCAGGACACGTGCGACGCCATCGACATCAACCTTGGCTGCCCCCAAAACATCGCCAAGCGTGGTGCGTTCAGTCGTCGTCCTGCGCAGGACCCTGTGCTTGGCCGTCCCCCCTGTGGACCCCCCCCCCCCCACACACACACACACATCCCCCCTAACATCCTCTGTCTTCCTCCTCGTCCTCTTCGCGCCAGGGCACTATGGGTCTTTCCTCCAAAACGAGTGGGACCTCATCTTCCGAATTGTGAACACCCTCCACCTGAATCTCAAGGTCCCGGTCACGGTGAAGATCCGTGTGTTTGATGACGTGGACAAAACGATCCGCTACGCCAAGATGATCGAGCGCGCCGGCGCGTCGGTAAGCAACCCCCCTCCCCCCCCTCAACACACCTTCTGTCCTCCCTGACTTGTGCCCGGGCCCCTAACACGCGCGCACGCGCACACACGCACACACGCACACACCACACCACAGATCCTTACCGTCCATGGGCGCATGCGCGACCAGCGCGGACAGAACACCGGCCTCGCGGACTGGGAGAAGATCAAGGCTGTTAAGTATGTGTCCCCCGTCCGCCACCACCGCCACCACCCGCTTCTCTCCCCTCTGACAACGCCACCGCCCCTGCCTGCCTGCCCCGCTTGCTCCTCCCCAATCCAGGAACGCCCTCTCCATCCCGGTCTTCGCCAACGGCAATGTCCTGTCACTCGAGGATGTCCAGCGGTGCATCGATGCCACCGGCGTTGACGGCGTCATGTCCGCCGAGGGGAACCTCTACAATCCGGCCATCTTCTCCGGGGTCACCCTGCCTGCGTGGCAGCTGGCCCGCGAGTACCTCAACTACTGCCAGCACTATGGCTTCAACCATATGGGCACCATTCGCGGCCACATGTTCAAGCTCTTCTACCACATCCTGGGATGGTACCCGATGTATCGCCAGGAGTTTGGCATGTCCCGCAATGTGGATGCCCTTCTGGCCCTGGTCGACACGATCGAGGCCCGTGTCAAGGCCGACCTCGAGTCCGGGGAGGCCACCGAGTTTGGCCTGGCCGGTGGTTCGCTGCAGGTGGCCAAGAAGAAGATGCGCATCTCCACGGCCGATGCTGCTGGCGATGATGGTGCCGCCGGCGCCGCCGGTGCCGCCGGCGCCCCAATCGCTGACACCGCCGACGCCGCGGCCGGCGCCGCCGCCGCCGCCGCCCCGAAGTCCAAGCCCGACGTCCCGGCCGTGGTGGCGCTGTCACATGCCCCGGGCCTGGCCGTGGTCGATCCGCAGGAGAAGCACCAGAAGCTCCTGCAAGACGCCGAGGCCCTGGCTCTGACCGATGTGGACCCGCACTTCGCCGGGCATCTGGCCTCTGCTCGGGATGTTCTCATCGATCGGCGTAGCCCCTTCTACCATAGCCAGGCGTATGTGCGCCAGCTTCCCACCCCGGAGCAGAGTGCCCGCCTGGCGCGCATCGACAACAGCTACTCCAACTACCAGAAGGCCAACAGCATCCGGTGCGTACCTCCCCTGTGTGTGTGTGTGTGTGTGTGTGTGTGTGTGTAACCTCCCCGTACAATGGGTGCTAACCGAAAGTAAATGGCCCATGGGCTCGCCCGGTGCCGTGGACGTGCCTCCGGCATCCAATCGTGTGTAGTGAGCGCCACCAGCAGCAGACTGTGGACGGCGACAAGATGGAGGAGTCGCAAAAGCGCCCGCATGCCGAGGTTGCTTGAAGGAAAGAGAAGATGGCCAGCGCGGCAAAAAAGAAAATGGACGGCCCCGAAAATGCATATCTGCTGCCCACCTGTCCGCGTGTGTCTATGCAGGTGTATGTGTGTGTGTGTGTGTGTGTGTCCGTGCACCCGCGCATGGGTGAGCGTGAGTCGCAATCACCAAACAGGGTGGATCTATATATGTATATTCTTTCGGGCGGCGAGGGACCAGCAGGAGGGTGGAGGCACGGCACGCCAGCTCGAAAGGAGGGGGGGGGGAGCGGAGGAGAGAAACAAGGACTGTGGGGGAGGAATAGAGACGGGGAAAAAAAAACAACAAAGGGAGGGGGCGGGAGGGGAGGGTGATGCACTCGGCGGGCGGGCCCTCACTTGGAGATGGACTTGTCCTCGCTGCGGGAGTAGACCGGCTTGAAGTTGATCGACTGGGAGCGCTTGATCTTGGCGTCGCGCTTCTGCTTGCGCGCAAGCTTGCGGCGAAGGACCTTGACCCGGGCGTTGTTGGCGAAGACAGTGCGCGCGTGGCCGGAGGTCTTGACCGGGGCCTGGCTCGAGGCGGCGACCGCCGGGTCGCGGGCGGCCATGGCAACGAGACCCTCCAGGACCTGGGTCTGGTGGGACTTGACGGAGGAGGCGCTGAAGGCGAGGTCGCGCTTGTCCTGCTCCAGGTCATTGGCCGAGGGGGAGAAGTTCTTGTCGATCAGGGTGCGCAGGTGGAGGGACACCATGTGGCGGACGGCCGGGCTGGGGTTGAGGGCGCCGCGGGCGATGGCCTTGGCCACCTCGGTCTCGGTGTGCGGCGACAGAAGACCACTGTAGAAGCGCCACTCCTTCTTGAGGACGCCGTTGACCGCGCGCGGGAGGTCCTCAGTGGCGCCTGGTGGGGTTGGATGGGGGAGGGGGGCGGGGATTAGTGGCTGACATGGGCAGGGCAATGGGCGGCGGCGGCGGCGGCGGCGGCGGGGGGGGCGGGGGGGAGGAGGCAAGGGCACGCACTGCGCCAGGTGTGAACGCCCCAGGCCTCGCCGCACAGGCGGAGGGACTTGTCCTTCTCATTCTCCTCGATGCGGTGGAGCACGCGCGTGAGGGTGACGAAGGACTCGTGGCCGGCCCAGCCGCGACGGGCCACGCGCTGGCCGCCGGAGTTGATGTTGCCACCGAGAACCGGGTTCCGGGAGACGACCACCTCGAAGAGGTTCTTCCGGGCACCGCGGGCGACCTTCTGGGCGAAGGGGACCTTGGTGGCGACCGACTGGACGGCAATCGACGACATCTGTGCGTATGGGGAGGGGAGCGGGGTCCTGGCCAGGGGCAGAAGCAAGGGGGAGGGGCGGGAAGGAGTTGCGGGGGAGGGGGGAAGGAGGGGGGGGGAGAGAGAGAGTAGCGTTGGCGGTGCGGGAGCTGCGGGGTGGCAGCCAGGGCGGCCGAAAAAGATGGAAGATGCTGGATTGGCTAGCAGAGGCAGGCATGTCCAGGGGGGGTTGATCTTTGCCCGGGCAAAAAGTCGGCAGGGGAGGGGGCGCGCGAGGGCCCACGCCGGGCGGGGGTGAGAGAGAGAGAGAGAGAGAGACACAAGGGCCGAGGGAGGAAGCCCCCGGAAACGCGTCAACAGCGGTGGCGGCATCAGCCCCCGCTCCCCCCCCCCTGGAACCGAGGGAGAGCGTACGCGGCGCAAGGTACCCCCGGGCACGCACGCGAAGGGCGCCGGGCTGGCTGCCTGATGGCGGCGCTCCATATGTGGAGAATGGTGTTTGTCCTTCTCGTGACAATCGATGCGGCGGCAGTTGGCGTCCAGGAAGTTCCGGCGGATATTTGTCGCGCGGGCAAATATTCGGCTCAGGATAATCCACCGAAGTATATGCCTCCCCTCGGGGTGTTGGTGGAAGACCGTCGGAGGCGCGGCTGCCTCTTTTTACCATGTCTGGGTGCGCTTCGGGCGTGCGCGCGTGTGTGTCCCCCCCGCTGGCCGATCCTATACCCCTCTGGATGTGGGCTGAGGGATGTGCGTTTCCACCCTGCGCTGGCTGGTGCTGGGCTCCGGTGCGGGTGGCGGCTCGCAGGTCCGCGCTTTCCGTGCGGCGGGGGGGGCGGGCTGGGAGTGTTGATCCGTGTTTTCCCCCCCCCCCCCCCCTCCGCCGCCGATGGCCAGAGATGCCTGCCCTCGGTGCCGGTGGCCCTTGGCCTGGTCGGCGCCCCCCCCCCCGGGCAGGGGCCGCAGGGCATGAGGAGCGTGGCGGGCGTTGGCGCGAGGGCCAGCGGGGGGGACGGGGGTATTTCCGTTGGTGGGCGGTCGGCCACAGCGCTTGTGGGTGCCGAGGCCCAGGGGGGCGGGGATCGCGTCGAGCCACGCGCCAGGAGGCGCCTCAGGGGGGGGGGGGAGGGCATGTTAGGCTGCTCGTTGTCGGGCGTGTTCGTTGCGCAAGAAGCGTCGGGCATTTATTGGCGTGTTGGAGCGCGTGTCTTGCTGGACCGGCTTCGCGCCCCGCCCCCCCGCCCCCTCTCGCCCCGCCGGGTCGCTCGCGGAGGGCAGACCGCGCCATGTGCCGCCTCTCCAGTCGGCGCCCGGGAATGCGCCGGGCGGGAGCTGGGGACTGCTTGTGTGCGCAGGGGAGGGACTTGGCCAAAAGCGGGTCCCGGGCCGGGGGCATTTGTATGCCACCCGCGGTGGCAGCTCGCCCGCCCGCCCGCCCCCCCTCCGCCTCGCCCGTTCTTGCCGGGGAGGGGGAGGCCCGGTCGCCGGGGGCGGGGGGGGGCCGGGGGGGGGGAGGGGGCATGTGGAGCATGGTGTCTGCGGAGGGGGACCTCCAGCCGGGAGCCGGGGGGGGGGGGGGGGAGGTAGGCCAACACCGATACGCTCCGCCGGGCGGCCATTGCCCCATGGGAGCCGGGGCCCGCCGGGGCGGGGGGGGGTGCAGGCGCATCGATGGCCCCGCCGG